AAGGCCGTGTCCCTGGCTTGGTGCCTGCTGGGCGCACAGACCTTTTGAGGTCCTTCAGCATTCCCGGGCGGGTGCCCGCGGACATCGGACATCAAGGTCCCAGGGTCCTGGGTCTCAGCTGGAGACTGAGACGGCCCAGCACCGGGAAAACAAAGCAGCAGCCAGGTCGGGGAGGCGACCCCTGCACACCCCTTGTGTCTCCCCAGCTAACCAGGAGATCCTGCAGAAGGTGGAGGTCGAGTATGAGACGCTGCCGGGCTGGAAGGCCGACACCACGGGCGCACGCAAATGGGCCGACCTGCCCCCGCAGGCACAGAACTACATTCGCTTTGTGGAGAACCACGTCGGCGTAGCAGGTGCGCCCCAGGCTGGCCCAGCCCCGGCCTGACCGCGCCCTGCCGTGGCTGACCCACTCCTTGCCTTTCAGTCAAGTGGGTCGGCGTGGGCAAGTCCAGGGAGTCCATGATCCAGCTGTTCTAGCGGACCCGGATGCGGCGCCCACTCTGCGGACCGTCCACCTCCCGCCTTCCCACCCCGTGCATGCACTGGACATCCAAGGACCCCTCGTGCCCACGTGCATGCTGGTCAGTCCTGGGGCCCGGAGCTCGCATCTCTGTCCCTGCCGCGTGTCACCAATAAATACGCTGCTGGCCGTACACCCAAATTTTGTCTGACCTGTCCTTGTCGTATGGACTCGGGCTCTGGTGGGTGAGGGACTTTCTGGAGGGCACCTCTGCAGTGATGCGGGGCTGGCGGGCCTGGGCAGGGCACTTGGCTTACACAGGCCAACCGGGTTTGGTCCCGAGTCCACTAGGAGTGATCCCTGAGCACAGCCGGAGGTGCCCGGCAGCTCCTCCTTGATGTCCCAGGCCTCCATGAGCACCACACTGCCTCGTGGATGCATCACTGCCCTGGGCTGGCTGAAACTGCGGCTGTGCCCAGTGTCCCTGGGCGCCCTGAGGGTGAGGGCCTGAGGCTCACTGCAAGCAGCCGGCAGGGCTGGGCCTCTGCTGATTTGCTGCTAGCGGCCGAGTGTCTGATCACAGATCCCCATCTGCACCCCGGGGCCCAAGCAAACCTGCTTGGGGGTCTCTGCTGGGACCCTGCGCGTGCCATTCAGCTTACCGACTGGCTTTAGTTTTTTTGCTTTTGGGTCACACCTGGTGATGCTCAGGGGTTCCTCCTAGCTCTGCACTCAGGAACCACCCATGGCGGTGCTCCGGGGACCATATGGGATGCTGGGAATCAAAGCCGGCTTGGCCGCATGCAAGGCAAATGCCCTCCCCTCCGTGCTATCACTCCAGCCCCTGGCTGGCTTTAGTTTGTAGGTGGAAGACAAACCCGTGACAATCTCTTTCTCTGAGACCTTTCCCACATGCTCAGCTTTCCCGTGGGGCCCAGCCTTCCATCCCGGGATGCACCCGCCAGGGCAGGACAGCCTGCGATACAGCCCAGGTGGCGCTCGGCTCAGAAATCAGTCACACAAGAAACACACGGGCGGATGGGGGCAGGGCTGGGATGGCCAAGGGGGGCGTGAGGGGGCCTTGTGTACTGCATGGGCAGTCCTGGAACTGCAGGGGTGCTCCTCCTGCCCAGGGCGGGACACGGGGGTGCTCCTCAGGCCGGGGTGTACTTAGGGGTGCTCCGTGGGCCAGGGCTGGACTCGGGGGTGGTACTCAGGGGTGCTCCTCGGGCCAGGGTGGCACTTGGGAGTGCTGCTTGGGCCAGGCCGAGTGCAGCACAGCTTGGCTACCACAGTGTGAAAGCTGTGAGAAGCTGGCCCCTCTAATCCCCACCCACAGGCTGAGATGCTAGCTGCCCCAAACGCTGGTGCCAGGGGTCCAGGGTGGAGCACTTTCCATCGAGCCCTCCCTGCCGGACGGGTCCTGGAGAGCCTGGGGTGGGGGTGCTGGCCTTGGATCAACGTTCCATGCCGTAGAAGCTGGCTGGCCGGGGTCACCTGCCCCTCCCGCCGGAAGCTCTGCATGAGTGTGGGCCTGCCAGCCCGCAGGACTCCCTGCTCGCAGCTACGCTCATGGCCCTCCGCAATACCTGTCCTCCCAGGACAAGGATGGCGCCTCAACACCATCCCAAGGGCCAGGCACAGAGCCCGGAGCCTGCCATGGGATAATCATGTCCCCCACCCAGACTCCTCACGCCCAGCTGAGTCTGCGTGTTTCCATTAGGGCAGAGCACTGTGGCCAGGAAGCGTGGGAGGCTGAGCTCAGCCCTCGGCTCCTGAGCACTGCGGGGTGAATGAACTAGAGAGTCCCCTGAAAGGCCACAGGGAGGCCCAGTGCAGCATACACATGTCCTTCGGGAGAGTCAGGACACGGCACGCGGAGGACTTAACGCCAGAACCCTGGGGGCCACACTGCTCCCCGAAGTTGCTGGTCTGAGCTCACACCTGAGCCCTTTGCCCCAGCAGCCCCGGCCAGGGGCTGCTGACTCCTTGACTCCTGACTCCCCGATCAGCAGTCTCCCTCCAGCCTTCGTGGGGCCTTACGGTACTGCAAAGCAGCTTCCTTTCTGAACACAGAAATCTTTTTTCCTTAAGTGTTTGTAATTTAATTTTTGGGGGGAGGGGGCCACACCTGGCGATGCTCAGGTTTTTTTCCTGGATCGGTACTCAGGAATCACTCCTAGCAGGGCCAGGGGGACCATATGGGGTGCTGGGGATCAACCTGGGTTGTCACGTGCAAGGCAAGTGTTCTACCCGCTGTTCCGTCTCTCCAGCCCCTGGACACAGAGAAGTATTTCAAAACTTTCCTAGACTTGAAACATCACGAACAAAACTCAGGGCCAAAGTGACAGTACAGTAGGTCAGTAGGTAGGGCACTTGCCCTGCATGCGATTGACCCGAGTCCAGTTCCTGGCACCATGTCTGGTCTCCTGAGCACTGATAGGAGTGATCCCTGGGCTGGAATGGTGGACAGGTATTTGCCCAGCATGTGGCTGACCTGGGTTTGATCCCCAGCACCCCACACAGGCACCCAGTTAGCCAGGAGTGATCTCTAAGTGCAGAGCCAGGAATAAGTGCTGAGCACAGCCAGGTGTAGCCCCAAACTCAAAAATATCAAAAGGGACTAATCTCTGAGCACCACTGTGTACTCCTGCAAAACCCAAACCAACTGGGGCTGGAGTGATAGCAGAGCGGGTAGGGCATTTTCCTTGCATGTGGCTGACCCGGGTTCGAGTTCCAGCATCCCATATGGTCCCTCGCGCACCGCCAGGGGTAATTCCTGAGTGCATGAGCCAGGAATAATCTCTGTGCATCACCGGGTGTGACCCAAAAAGAAAAAAAAAAGAAAAAATAAAACAAAAGCAACAAAACCCCCAATCAGGGATTTTGTCTCTTTGTGATTAAGCAAACCAAGGGTGTGTTCACTCAGCTCACTGGACAGCCCGAATCTGCGTCCAGGCAAGGTTCTTACATTCCTCATCGCTCCTTAGCTCTCTCAGGAGCTAAAGCAGGCGAGCACAGCTTCAGTAGGGAAGCCAGATGTCAATCGGGTAGCAGGTGAGGGCTGGGGACGCTGCCTGCCCGGGTGTCCCGTGTGCCTGTGACCGTGTCAGCTTGCCCAGGTGCCCTGGGACTTGGCTGAGGGACTGTGAGCTGTCACCGAGGACCCCACCATGGTGCCCATTGTATTACAGAACCCAGCTTCTCCCTGAGCTGGTGGGAGGGATTTAATCCCATGCAGCAGCCTGAGAAATGGTGGGCTTGTCCCCCAAGACCACCCTGCCCTCCCCCAGGCCCGGAGTTAGGGTTTCCCTGGGGCTGGTGGAGGAAGCAAGTTAAAGCAGAAAAGGGTTTGGGTGGCAGTCCAGTCAAGTCATGCCTGGGCCGGCGGTGGCGGCGTGACAATCGGTCCTTCTGTGTGCTGAGGTGATCCAACGTTAGCAGAAGCACAGGGGGCTGCAGAGGGGCGGCCGGGGGGCAGGGCGAGGCCCCCAAGGCCAGGCGGCGGGGAAACAGCCCGCACGGCTGCTGTCGCCCACTGCCATCTTCGAGCAAACCTCATTCCCAGTGAACCGCTCGGAGCTACCCGACTGACACCCGGCCCCCGACTGCAGCTGTGCTCGCCTGCTTTCGCTGCCGAGAGCAGAGCGACGAGGAAGGGGCAAGAACCCGCCTGGACTCAGACTCGGGCTGTCCAGCGAGCAGAGACCCGCGCTCCCGGCAAACAAGCGTGCTTGAGACTTCTTGGGAGGTTCTCAAAGACCATCACGGAGCAAGTCTCTGCCTGGCGGACCTCTCGGGGGCCTGGCGGCGGCGCCCGCCTACTCACTCGAGCGGGGCTGCTGATGTGACATAACGTCGGAGTTGCACGAAACATCTGCCAGCATCACGGGCACAACCCACGCTGCGAAGCCTGCCGCGCGCTGGCTAGACCGGGGCTCCGAGCCCTCCCGGGGGTTCCCAGGTCCTTTGGGGGCGTGAACAGAAAAGCACCAGCTCCCAGGTCCGTTGAAGCGGAACTGTAACTCTCTTCCGGAACCAGCCACCACGCCCGCCCCCTGAGGTCCCCTCGGCCTATCACACGCCACGTCTCGCACAAGTCCCGCCCCCAGCCCGGCCGCCGGCCTATCCGGTGCAGGGTTCCCAAGGGTCCGCCCTCCCGTGTTCCCCGCTTAACCCTCCGACCCGCTCACTTCCGGTTGCGCCCCGGGCGGGAGCCCCGCCTCCTGCGGGGATTCCGCGCGCCGCTGCTTCTCGCCGCGGATTCCCAGACTGTCGCTAGCCGCGCCTCCTTCGAACCCCGCTCCGCGCTGACCCTCGTCTGTCCCGCGCCGCCTTCGAACGAGCCGCCGGGCGACCCTGGGTCCAGCCCCTCCGAGGCCTCCGCTGTTTCCCGCGCCCGTTAGCCCCGCCCCCCGGCGCGCGCGCCGCCTCGGACGGCTCCGGCCTATCCCGGCGGGCGCTGAGCGCAAGTCCCGCCCCCGCCGGGCGCCCGGCCTATCCCGCGCCTTTCCCGGAGCAAGCCCCGCCCCGCGGCCCGGGCGCGCGACTCGGACGTCAGGGGACGCCGCGCCGCTGCCCGGCCGCGGCCATGCCCAAGCGGGGCTGCCCCTTCGCGGACGCGGCCCCGCTGCAGCTCAAGGTCCGCGTCGGCGTGCGGGAGCTGAGCCGCGGCGTGTGCTCCGAGCGCTACTCGCGGGCCATCTTCGGTGAGTTGCGCGCCCGCGCCCGCCGGCCTCCCCGCCGCCCCCCGTCCCGGCGGCCGGCCGCGCTGGGGGCTCGCGGGACCCCGGCCCCCTCGTGTCCCCCGAGCCGGACCCGCCGGGCAGGGCCTTCCCGGACGGACCGTCCCGCCGGCGGAGTGCCGGGGGGTCGCGCTGCTGCCCGCGGGGCGCGGGGAGGGCGCGGGCCCGGGCGGAGGGACAGTGCGGCGGTCAGCGCCCCCTCGCTGTCCCCGGCGCCCGGCCGGCCTCGGGGTGGCCTGTGTCCCTCGCGGGAGCCGGAGCAGCGCCTCTGCTCGGCGGTGGGCTCCGAGGGGCCCCAGGATGCCCGGCGCTGTGGTGGGGGTGGGTGGGGCGCGACTGGACGGCCCGGCCGTGGGCAGCGCGGTGCTCAGAAGTGGCCTCTGCCCCCAGAGAAGACCCAGCGGCTCCTGTTTCGCGGCGCCCAGGCCGGTGCGGACCACGCGTGGGAGGACAGCTGCGCCGTGGTGGACCTGCCCGAATCCCCAGAGCCCGGCCCCACCAGGACCCCGCGCGCCTCGCGCGGGCAGCTGCTGATCGGACCCGACGGGCGGCTGACCAGGCGCCCCGCGCAGGCCGCGGACACGGGTGAGGGCGCCCGGGCCCTGGCCAGGCTTCTGGCGGCCCCCCACCCCCCCGTGTCGGGGGCGGGGTGGACCCTGCTCAGTGCAGCCCCGGGATCCCGCATCCCGCCGCCGCCGCCCCCGCCCCGAGGCAGCGTCCGCGGGGACCTGGGGCTGATGCCGCCCTTTGCTTTCCACAGACCCCCTGGGTGCCGGGTCCGGGGGCTGCGCCTCCTGCGTGCACGCCCTGGTCGGGAAGGCGGTGTGCGGGCAGTGCGAGCGCGCCCTGTGTGCCAGCTGCGTGCGCACCTGTGCCAGCTGCGGAGCGCCCACCTGCGCCCTCTGCGCCCTCGTGGAGTAAGTGGGGGTGGGGTGGGGCGGGGTCCTCGCGCCCCCACTGTGCCCCCGAGGCCGGTCTGCTCTTCCTGAGCAGTGAGAAGCTGGGAGGGGACAGTCGGTCTTCACTAGGGGGTCTGAAGGCTGCCGGGAGCCCCCCACACTGTCCTACTGTTTCCTGTCCCTGCTGCCCTGCCCCGGGCGGCGCCTGGCCCTTGTGCCCTGGTCCCCCACGCGCTTCTTCCCCAGCTCCAGCTGGACCTGGCCTCCCCCCTCCAGCCTGGCTGGGCCAGCGCTGTCCCTCGTCTCACCCAAGGGTTGCCCGGGCCTGCCGCTGCCAGCTCCTCTGTCCCCTGTCTTTGCAGTGGCGGTGACGTCCCCGAGAAGCTGCTGTGTGCCAGTTGCGTCATGTTCGAAGGCTGAGCCGCGACGTGCCGTGGGCGGGGGGCGTCTATTTTATGTTTTGTGCTTCTGAGTGCGGGAAAATAAACATGCTCTTTGGACACAAGGCCTTGCTGTGCGTGTGCGACTCCGAGGGACCCCAAGGGGTCGGACTCCCGGGATCGCCCCGTCTCCGCTGGGGGCCAGATCTGGGGCGGGGAGGCAGCTAACCGGTTTGGAGGTACCCCGGGGGGCAGAGGTGCAGGACCTCTGATGGGGACAGACTCTTCCCGGCTGGGCATGTCCCCCCGGACTGCACAGCGGCCGCCCACCTCATGCCCACAGCCTCTCGCCAGCTTCCTGCCAAGGCCTAGCTGTCTTCCGGGAGCCCACCTGCTCTGAGATCCCAGAACCCTGAAAAGATGTTCATGGTCCCTGATGCTGACTCAGCCATGTGCTCACGAGGTCTGGGGGAAGGTAGTGGAGAGTGTAAGTGGTCACCATGAGGGACTCACAGCGTGTGATCACACACACGGGTGAGGCCATCAACTTCTGGAGGCCTGAGATTGGGCGCTGCCGAGTGGCAGGACAAGCCCAGGGCGGGCGGAGGCTGCAGCTTGAAGTGCAGGCGCCAGGCTGGCCAGACCTGAGGTAAGAATGTGGGGGAGCGGATCGGGTGGTGGCCCCGGGGGAGCGTGGGACCTGGGGCAGTAAGGGGACAGCTTCAGGGACGGAGATTCTGCACTGGTTGCACATGGCACTGAGCACCGCTGGCCACGAGGCTATGTCAGAGCAGGCCGGGCAGCCCCGGAGGCTAGAGGCCAGGCTGCAGGCTCTGCTATGGAGCCGAGGGACAGCACGGCTGCTTCTGGGCCCGGCCAGGTCCTGCTTTCTGTGGACACGGGGCACTGGACTTACCGTGGACGAGCCCCCATCCTACTATCGGCCAGCACTAGCTCCAGAACCTTCTCCCCTCCCACCGAGGCCCAGCCCTTCACCCCAGCCTCCCTGCTGTCCGGCGGCGGCCTGGGGAGGTCCCCACTCTGCTGTGGGCTGCTGCTGGGAACACCGTGCCGAGCCTGTGGCCCCTGAACTCTGGGCCGCGTCAGGACCTGCCCGAGCACAGCAGGGCCCGTCACCTGCACCGAAGAGCCACCGGGAGTCACACCGACCCCACCCTGGGCCCACTGGCTCTGGCCCAGTGTCCACCCGTGGGAGCCAGGTCCTCCCGATGCCACCAGAGGGCGCCCTTGGTGCATCCTGCTCAGCCGGGTGGTGCCCACGCCTGGGGACACCCATTGGGGCCCCCTTCCAGGTCAGCCCCTAGCTGCTGGGCACCCGCCCCCAGGCCCTCTGACACCAGGTCGCCCCCCTTCAGAAACTCCCTTCCCAGCAAGACAAGCCACACGGTTGAAAAGCAATTTTTATTGAAGAATTTGGAGGGAAAGTTTCCTATAATAGTAAAAATAGTCAAGTTGAATGTTGTAAAAACACCGTGTGTGGCGCAGCAGCGGGCAGGGGCACGGGGGGCAGGGGGGGGTGGTCGCGCTGGCAGGACTAGGCTGTGCGGGGGCGGGGGTCCCTGTCACGGTGGGAAACCCCAGTGCGTCCTGCCGGCCTGGCGGGGGGCCTGGGCCCACGGGCTCAGTCAGTGGCCCCCGGCCCCGGCATCTCATCGGGAGACGCTGAAATAAATTAAGAAGCCCCCGGGGGCTCCTCCCCACGGCCGCCTCAGGCCGTGCCGCTGGCCGAGTAGGAGAACTGGGGGAAGTGGGGCCTGCGCTCGCTGTCCGCACACTCCATGTTGTCATCTGTGGGGACACAGTGTGCTCAGGCCCGGGAGGGGTGCGGAGCCCACCCGTTCCCCCCACCAGGGCCGCTCCCAGGAAGCTCTGGTTTGCGGGGGGCGGGGCTCCCGGCCCACCTTGGTCGGGTGGCGTGATGGTGATCATCTGGGCCGTGAACTCCTCATCGAAATACCTGGTGTCCGTCTCGGACGTGACCTGAGGCTTGAAGGGGGGGCTGAGCTGGGGGAGAGGGGACGCGTCAGGGCGCGGGCCCGGGGCGCAGGCCGCCCGTCCTGCGCTGGCCCCGGGGTCCCACCTTCTTCTCGTACACGTCCTGCCACACGACGCCCGCGAAGAAGCGGTGCTGCATGATCTCCTTGGCGTCCTCCGAGCCGCCGCCCAGCCTGCGGGGACAGCTCCGTGCCAGCTCCGTGCCAGCCCCGCCCCCTCCGCCCCGCAGCCCGCCCGGGTGCCCACCTCTGCTTGGGGTCCTTCTTGAGCAGCCCGGCCAGCAGGGACTTGGCCTCGGGCCCCAGCGTGCGCGGGAAGCGGATGTCCTCCATGAGGATGAGCTCGAAGAGCTTCTCGTGGTCCTGGTTGTAGAAGGGCAGGCGGCCGCACAGCATCTCGTACATGACCACGCCCAGCCCCCACCAGTCCACCGCCCGACCGTAGTCGTTGTCCTCCAGCACCTGCGAGCGCAGAACACGGGGAACATGGGAGCCTCGGGGGCACGCAGAGCGGGCGGGCAGGGCGCGGGGTTCGGTCTGCCCTGCCCGCGCAGCGCACCTCGGGGGCCAGGTACTCGGGGGTTCCGCAGAAGGTCTTCATGGTGGCGCCGTCCTTGATGCCCTCCTTGCACAGCCCGAAGTCGGTGATCTTGATGTGGCCGTCCTTGTCCAGCATGAGGTTCTCCAGCTGTCGGCGGGCGCGGCGGTCAGGCCCCGCCCCCAGGCCGGCCTGGCCCGGCCCACCTTCGGGTCCCATAGACGGCGTTTCCCACCAGCCGTGGGCATCTTGACGTCCCGTGGACTGCGTTTCCTGCCCGGCTCGGCCCAGCCCAGCCACCTTGAGGTCCTGTGGACCACGTTTCCCGCCCAGTCCAACTACCTTGAGGTCCCGGTAGACCACGTTCTTCTCCGAGTGCAGGTAGTCCAGGGCCGACACGATCTCGGCGCCGTAGAAGCGCGCCCGGTCCTCGGGGAACACGCGCTCCCGGGAGAGGTGGAAGAAGAGCTGCGGGGAAGCCGTGTGAGTCGCAGCCCTGAGCCAGGCCAGGCCGGCACCCCTGCAGCCCCCCGCAGCCCCCACGGTGCCTACCTCGCCCCCGTTGGCGTACTCCATGACGAAGCAGAGCCGGTCGTGGGTCTGGAAGGAGTACTTCAGGGCCTGCAAGGCACGGACTCAGGCCACGGCTCGCTCCCAGCCCTCGACCCGGCAGGCGGGGCAGGGCTGTCGATGGCGCTGGGCTGTCCCGAGCCTGCTGCACGGCGCAGCGGTTGCCAGGAAGGACGGCGGCCACACCATCAGGGATGAGGCCCCCTACCCGGGAGAGCTGGGGCGCCTGCCTCGCTGCCAGCAGGCCCTCACCGGGCCCCGCACTCACATCCAGCAGATCCCCTGGGCACGTCCTCGGAGACTGACACCCCAGAAACGCACCTGGGCCGACCTCCCCAAAGGCGGGGGCCCCTCAGGCCAGGAGTCAGGATGGGGGGCGGCAGAGTAGGTCACTGTGGCTTTCTGTCACTCCCCAGAGGGCCTGCCGTCCACCCCCCACACACACATACAGAGTGGGAGCCCACGGGAGTGGCCGGTCTGGGCTACTCACGGTCAGGAATGGGTGCCGGGAATTCTGCAGGACCCGGTTCTCGGTGAGCGTGTGGGCCACCTCGTCCTGGAAGCCGGGGCAGGGGGCAGTGAGCAGTGAGCAGCGCGCAGCCCGCGCCCGCCCGCCCGCCTCCCGGCCCGGGCCCCACCTTGGCCACGATGACCTCCTTCTTCAGGATCTTCATGGCGTAGTAGCGGCCGGTGGCCTTCTCCTTCACCAGGATCACCTTCCCGAAGGTGCCCTTGCCGAGAAGCTTCAGGTACTCGAACTCATTCATGGTCTGCGGGCGGCAGGTCAGTCACGGTCAGCGCGGCTCCGCACACAGGAGGGGACACTGGCCTCAGCCTCACTCGGCCAGACCACCCGTGGGGACCCTGGGGCTCACCACGCGGTGCTTGGGTTTGGCCAGCGAGACCTCCATCTCCTCGGCCCCCGAGTTGTCGCTAGGAGACCCCGACCGGAAGTCCATCATCTCCTCCTCCTGCTTCTTCAGCCCGTCGGCCACCGTCTGGATGGCGGTCGTCCACTCCTCCCTGTGTGGTGGGCAGGTGAGGCCCTGCCCAGCCCCTGGGACACGGATCCCGCTCAGGGCCCCGCCTGCAGCCCGCCTACCGCTCCTCAGGGGTCTCCACGTGGAACGTGCGCTCGATGACGGTGGTCCACTGCAGGCAGCGGATGATGAAGGTGTTGGGCCGCGGCCGCTCCGTCTTCATCAGCTGGCACTCTGGGGGGGCGGCACGTGAGCGCCCCGCTCCGCGCAGGCCCACTACAGCGCCCAGCGTGCCCACGGGGAGGAAGCACACGCCTCCAACACGCACACCTGGAACACGTGACACCTAGAACATACACACCTGGGGCACAGGCACACCGGGAGCGCACGCACACTGGAGCACATTACACACCGGGAGAACACACATACACACACACACACTGGGAACATACACACACTGGGAGCACAGGCACAGCAGGAGCACACACACACTTGGAGTGTGGTCACACCTGGAGCATGAACATACCGGGAGAGCAGGCATACCTGGAGCACACGCACACCCGGAGCACATGCACACTGGAGCACACACATACCTGGAGCACGTGCATATCCGGAGCACACGAACTCCGGAAGTACACACACACTGGAGCTCATGCACATAGGGAGCACACGTACGCACTGGGAGCACATGCACACACCGAGAGCACACACACACTGGGAGCACGGGCACAGCAGGAGCACACACATACTTGGAGTGTGGTCACACCTGGAGCATGAATGTACCGGGAGAGCAGGCACACAGGGAGTGCAGGCATACCCGGTGCACACGCACACCTGGAGTACACTCACACCCTGAGCACATGCACTGGAAGCACATGTACACACTGGGAGCACACGCACACACCGGGAGCACACGTACACACCCGGAGAACACAAACACCGGGAGCACACACACACTGGGAACATACACACACTGGGAGCACGGGCACAGCAGGAGCACACACATACTTGGAGTGTGGTCACACCTGGAGCATGAACATACTGGGAGAGCAGACATACCTGGAGCACACGCACACCCAGAGCACACACCTCGGGAGCACACACCCTGAGCACATGCACTGGAAGCACATGTACACACTGGGAGCACACGCACACCCGGAACACATGCATACTGGAGCACACACATACCTGGAGCACGTGCATATCCGGAGCACACGAACTCCGGAAGTACACACACTGGAGCTCACGCACATAGGGAGCACACGTACACACCGGAGCACATGCATACTTGGAGTACACGCGTACTGAAAGCACACACTGGGAGTACACACAGCAGAAACACACGAACACTGGGAGCGCATGCACACTTGGAGTGTGGTCATACCTGGAGCATGAACATCCTGGGAGCACAGGCACACACTGGGAATACATGCACACCTGGAGCACACGCACACCAGGTGCACACCGCGGGCACAGGCACCTACACCCAGGAGGGACAACGGTGGCCCCTGCACCCTGTGAGTGGGGAGAGTGGGGGCCCCTGGGGACTCCGTGTGAGCAGGAGCCCCCCTGCAGCACCGCCCACACGGGTCCACACCCTGGCCCCGAGGAGAAGCCCATCCCGCGGCCGGCACGCATGGGCCCTAGGAGGCCGGACCCGCCTGGCCATCTGCCGCTATCCCCAGGCGGCACGTGGTGCTAGCAGGGCGATGCCCGTCACGCAGCAGTCCTCGGGGCCGGGACACTGAGGTCCGGGTGTTCCTGCACGCCTGCTCCTCCTCGCCCGGGGGTAGAGCACCGGGCGGCGGGGACACTCACGGGCCACGGAGAAGTTGTTGAGGGGGGCCTCGCGCTGCTCCGTGTCCTGCGGCCGCTCCTTGTAGCCCGTGAAGCTGCCATCACTCTTGAGCAGGAAGTACCGGGGCCTCCAGGTCTTGATGTACTCCCCTGAGGGACAGCAAGAGCTGGCACCGCACCCAAGGGACTCCTGCGGGCCCCACGAGGTTTGGCCGGACCCCGAGTAGGCGTGTGCTGGGACCTTATCGCGCAGCTGGGATGACGCGGGCCAGAAGGACCCCTGCTGGGAGTGAGACAAGGCCTAGCAGGCGGCAAGTCCAGTCTCGAGGGCCTTCCCGGAGGGGGACACACGACTCCGAGCCAGTGGGTCCCCAGGGGGCAACACCGCTGCCGTGACGTGGGGGCGCGTCCCCGCACCCCGAGTCCACGAGGCAGAGCAGCGTGGCGGGAGCCCGGGGCGACCGCGGCCCCACCCCCAGCCTCCCCAGCAGCCTGAAAGTTCTCCCGGAAGTTGTGCAGCGGCTCAGCAGCGCCAACAAACAGGCTGTGCCTGGGGAGGGAGCAGATGTCCGCAGCGGAGCGCGGGCGCCTGTCATTTGTCACGCTGACAGCGGGCTGGGAAGCGTCTCATTTCCATTCTGCAGAGCGGGACCAGCCCCTCCTGCCTGCCCGGGGTGCCCTCAGGACGCCCCGCAGACGCAGCCCCTCGCCGGCCCCTCCCGCGGGGGCTCGGCCTGGCCCTGGGGGGCACCGCTGGACGGGCTCCAGCCCTCAGGCCTCCCGCAGTGCGTCAGCCCAGGGCCTGGCCGGAGGAGTTCATGGTGCCCACGGTGCCCACAGTGCAGGCTGGGCCGCGCCCAACCCGCGCCCAGGAGGGCCCCGCTCCCCCGCCGGCGCGCCAGGCTGGGCTGTCGGGCCCTGATGGAGAGCCTCAGAGGCCGCCAGCTGCCGCTCCCCGGGACGCTGACGGGGCAGGGAGAGCGATGAGCGTCTCCCCACACAGCCCCCAAATCCATCTCGACGCACCAACCGCTGCCTGCCCCCTCCGCGCCCCCCCCCCGGCCACCTCCTGCTGTGCCAGCCTGTGCCCTGGACACGTGAGCGCGGGAGCGTCTGCACACGCGGGCCGACTGCCCCGCAGCAGGGACCTCGGTTTCCCCCTGGGGTCCACTGGAGGGGGCGGGGTTGCCGTGCATGTACCCCGAGCCGCACACTGGCACCTGGACCTCCACCCGCCCGGCGCGTTGGCAGCTGGCACGTGGTAGGCAGAGGGGCCGCAGCCCCAGTGCGCCACAGGGACCCCGGGCACAGGCCTGACCCCAGGCCGGACACTCAGATGCAGCTGGGTGGCCCCCACCCTTCTCCTGCACCCAAGTCCCCCTTAGTGAGGCTGGGCCCCAAACTTGGGGAATTCACCTGCCAGAACAGCCTCGGGGCACGAGGCTCGCTCGGAGACCAGCCCTGGGGCACGCAGCAGGGGTGGCCACAGCCCAGTGCCCTCAACACGGCACCCACACACACACACACTGCACCCACACAGCACACACACACCTACAGACACACGTACACACACACTGCAGACACGCACACACACACTGCACTCTGTGCACTCACATGCCTACAGACACATATACACACTGCAGACACACGTACACACACGAGACACACATGTGTACTCACACCTTCAGGCACATGCATACACACGTGCCTACAGACACATATGCACACACTACATGCATGTACACTCACGCTAGACACACGTAAACCCAAGCGTACAGACACACGTATATACACAGTACAGACACGCACGCTCACGAGTAAAATACACATGCACTCGCACCTACAGACACATGTACACAAATGCTAAACACACATGTATACACACACCTACACATGTACACAAGCTATGCACGTGTGCACTCATGTGCCTACAGTCGCTTGTGCACCCTATCTGCAGACACGTGCGTACACACTTCTATAGACATACGTGTGCACACACCTGTAAACACACGTGCATCATACGCCGACACACCTGCGTCACACGTGCACTCACACACGCGTGCAAGGCGCTGGCACCGCAGCTCGGCAAAGTGCTGGGTAGACACTTTGCGTGGCGGGCGCTGGCGGGGCGCCAGCACGTCTGCTCGGCACAGCACACTGAGCCCCAGCAGGCCTGGGGAGCGGCGCCAGCTGACAGCGCGGCCACACGGTCCCCTGCCGCTGCCACATCCATCGCGCCGACAGCTGCCGGGTGGGCGGGCGCGGGCGCAGCAGCTTCCCCACATGGAGGTCACCGTTGCCCACGGCTGCCACCGCCCCGCACGGTGACACCGGGCACGGCTCCCCTGAGAGCCCCCAGACCGTAATACCAAGGACCACCCGGCTCCGCAGGAAACTGAGGCAGGCCCAGGAGGCAGAAGGGCTCTTGGCTACGGGCGGTCCAGCCCTGCCACAGGCCCCTCTCCACACCCGAACGTGCCCGCCCCTGGCTCCAGCCGCCCCACAGCCCAGGCCAGCATAGGCCCACACCTCCAGGCGGGACAGGAGGGGGCGGGAGGCCCTCAATGGCGAAGCGATCTCGCCAGGGCAGGTGGGCAGCAGGCCGGCGCACCCCCCCCTCCAGCCCGGCACCTGGGCCCGCACACCCCAGGGAGTAGAGGAGCCGCCATGGGGCGACTGTGCACAGCAGCTGGGCCGGGGCTGCATTGGGCTCCATCTGGGCTCCCGTGCAGGGGATTGAGACCCTCTGGGGGTCCGGGCGATGCCACCGGCACCTGGGCACGAGGGCTGCAGGGCGGTGCTGGGCGGGGGCCGTCAGCGCTAGCTATCCCCTCTGAGGCCCCTGTGGGCCGCCTGCTTCGGCAGCCAGGCAGGGCTGTGGACACTGGCCACTGGCAGGAGAAAGGCTGAGAGGCCTCCCCAGTGAGGGCCACAGCTTCCTCTTTTGATGTTTGTTTGGAAGAGGCCGACACACAAACAGGAAACGGCCCCACCACTAGCCTGCCACGCCTCAGCCGCCAGGCCACTCGGCGACGTCACACCACGGCGGGCCACGTCACTCGGTGATGTCACAGTACGCCAGGCCAAGCCATTGATGTCACATCATGCCAAGCCATGCCAGTCAGTGATGTCACACCACACCAGGCCATGCCACTCAAGAAAAGTGAGACCGCAGCCACATCACACCATGCCAGGCCACGCCACTGAGCGATGTCACACTGCACCAGGCACCACACCAGGTCATGCCATTCAACCAGGTCACACCACGCCAGACCACGCCACTGGGCGATGTCACACCACGGCAGGCCACGCCACTCAGTGATGTCACACTATGCCAGGCCACACCACTGATGTCACACCACACCAGACCATGCCGCTCAAGAGAAGTGAGACCACAGCCACGTCACACCACGCCGGACCACACCACTCAGCAATGTCATACCACAGCAGGCCACACCACTCAGTGATGTCAAACTATGCCAGGCCACGCCATTGATGTCACACCATGCCAAGCCATGCCGCTCAGTGATGTCACACCACGGCGGGTCACGCCACTCAGCAATGTCATGCCATGCCAGGGCACTCACACCACACGCCGTACCATACCACACGGCCATGTCACACTATGCCAGGCAATGTGGCATCATGCATGCCACATCAGGCCACGCCACTGGACGACGAGCAAGTCAGCGGGCATCCCTGAAGAGCTGTCCTGGCAGTGGGAACCCTCAGGAGCTGCAGGTGCCCCAGAGCCCGGTGCTGGGGGACCCCGTCCCAGCCCCAGAGCAGAACAGGGGGACTCTCGGACCCCATCCTATCCCCCCTCCCCCAGGCCTGTTCCTCCCAAGGACCAGCATAGCACCCGAAGGGGCGTCCCCGGGCACCGGGCAGGCGTTGGTCCTCTGTGACCGCCCCACATCTGACCCGCACCAGGAGGCCCCACCCCATTTCCCTGGTCACCCTCGAGCCCAGTACAGGGGCCCCAAGTTGCGGGGATGAGGACACGCACAGCCCCCATGGCTACCCCATCTGTAGACCTGACTGCGCAGGGAAACTGAGGCCCATGGAGCTGGCCTAACAGAAATCAGGCCCAACATGGCTCTCTGGGTGCCCAAACACGCACCGAGGGGCTGCACCCAAGTGCGTACTCCCACCTGAGCAGGGGCCAGCCCAGCATGGACACCCAGGGCCAAGGCAGGCGCCGACGTCCACATCAGCCACACAGCAAGAGATTCGGGAGGCTGCGGGGCCCCAGCACTAAAGGGGAGGGCACGTGGCCCGACCGAAGAGGCGGGACAAAGGCAGGAGGGGCCCCCAAGGTGGGGGCTGCCCCCCCACAGCCTGGACTCCCAGGCCAGCCCTGTGCCCCCGGGGACCTGCCACGCCACACGCACGGACGGTGCTCGGGACAGGCCAGGGAGCAGGGGGCACAGGCGGGAATGGGTGGACGGTCGACAGGACACACTGGTGCTGTGCCAGGGTCGAAGGGAGCGGGCTGAGTGGTAGCATGGAGTCCCGGGTGCGAGTGTGGGTCCCGGGTGCAAGTGTGCGATCCTGGGCGTGTATTGGGTCCCTGGTGTGGTGCGGGCCTGCGGTGGCAGTGTGGGGTCCCGGGCTGTGAGGGAACAGCCGGGCGGGTTCCGGGGCCCTGTGGTGGCCACAGTGTCCCTGAGGGCCGAGGGTGGGCAGGCCCTGGGGTCCGGCCCATCCCGCAGCCCAGCGGGCAGTGCCCCGAGATGAGGCCCGGCCCGACACCGTGCCCTCGCGGGCACTCACCTCTCTTGTGCAGCCAGCCCTCCTTCACCACGGCCGCCTCGCTCATGGTGCCGGCCAGGGGCCCCGCGGGGCTGCTCCTTCACGCGTCTGCCCAGCCGGCGGCCGCAGCCTCTGCAGAAAGCAAAGGCACAGTGAGGCGGGACCCCCAGGCCAACAGCCCCGGGACTCAGCTAGACAGTGCTCTGCTCGGGCACTGTCTCTGCCCGCTGGGCAAGGGAGGCCCAGACCCGAGCAGGGCCTGCACTGGGGGCCCCCCAACTACGGCGCCCTTGCTGGGCTGCGTCCGCCTGACCTTGCGTGTGGCTGGCATCCCGAGCTTTGCCAGAGACAAGGAGGGCTCGGATGAGACGGTGGACGCATAGCACCCGTCAGCCCCGGGGCGGGGGTGCGGGGCGGAGGGAGGCCCACAATGACCGCACTGGGAGGCAGCTAAAGAGGGTGGGGGCAGCACTGTCCAGACCCAGAGGCAGCGGGGCCTGCCCCGGCCTCCGAACCTGCCTGGCCGAACTCCTAGGCAACCCTCAAAACCCACTTCCACACTGCGGAAAGGGGCACCGTTCCCTCGAGCGCTCCCTGCTCCCCTGCACGAAGGCCCCTGGGCCCGCGTGCGGCAGCGGCGAGGATGCCCCGGGCGGGCCCAGGCCGCGGGCTGGGCCTCGCCGGGTGGGCGTGGCCGGCGGGGGTGGCCTCCCGGCTGGGCTGGGCAGGGCCGCCGGGGCTGACGGAGGGGGACAGCTGAGGGCGCGGGCGTGCGGACCCCAGTTCCGGCGGGCGGCGGCCGGCCCGGGCATTGTTCGGGCGCGCGCCGGGCCCCGCCGCCGCCGGCCCAGGGCCGGTCCAGGGCCCTCCCCGGCCCTCCCCTCCCCGGCCCGGCCCGGCCCGGCGGCCGCCCCTCCCCCGCCCGCGCCGCCCGCCCCCCGCCCGGCCGGGCGCGGCCCCCGGGCCGGCCACGCGCGCGCGCGCGGGGGGCCCGGGCGGCGCCCCCCGCGGGCCGCGCCGCGCCCCGGGCCCGAGGGCGCCCGCCCCGCGCGCCCCGCCGAGCGGGCCGGGCCGGGACCCCCCGCGCGCCGCCGCGCCCGCCCGCGCCCCAAGGTCACGCGGCGGCCGCGCCCGCGCCCCGCGCCCCGCGCCCCGCGCCCCGCGCCCCGCGCCCGGCCCGGCCCGGCCCGCGGCGGCGGCGGCGGCGGCGAACAAAGCCGCGCGCGGGGAGGAAATCCGGCCGCGCGCGGGACTCACCGGGCGCCGCTCCGGGCGCGGCGGGCCTAGCCGGGCCGCGGCCTCCGGCGCCCGCCGCTCCGCATCCCCGCGGCCCAGCCGGGCGGTCCAGGGGAGGCCGCGGCGCCGTGTGCGTGGCCGCCGCTCGCGCTCGGGGCCGGCAGCTGGGCCCGGGCCGGCCGCTCCGTCCTGCGCCGCCTCGCCCCGCCCGCCGCCCGCCCACATCCGCCTCCGCCGCCCCGGGCGCCCCCGCGCCGGCCCGCACCCGCCCGCCCGCCCGCCCGGCCGCGCGCCCGCCCGCCCCGCCCCGGCCCGCTCCCGCCGGGCCGCCCCGCCGGGGACGCCGGCCCGCCCGCGCCCCCCGGTCCCGCCGCCGCGCCGCCACGGGGCCGCACGGCCGGGGAGGGGCCCCCGCTGACCATCACCCCCGGCTTCCGCAGGGGCCTCGGGCGCCCTCGGGAGCGGCCCCACCCACCCACCTGGCCCCAGGTGGGCTGCTGTGCCCACTCCCATCCTGGGGCGGGGGGCGGGGGCGGGGGGCGCCGGGAGGGGGCACCGAGGGGCCAGCGGTGAGCCGCGGGGTCCAGCGGCCGCCGCCTTGTGGCCGCTGCCGGAAGGGCAGGGCTGGGGCAGCGTGTGGTGGTGGTGGTGGGGGCTGGAGTCCCGCCGGCCCGGCCGCGCCCCCACCCCGACGCCGGCCCTCCCCGCCAGGGTGCCCCCTCCAGGACCAGGACGGGCGGCCCCAGGGTGCCCGCCACCGCCTGCTCTCCGGGTTCAGGGGCCCTGGCCAGATGTTTGCAACAGAAAGTGCTGCTCCCCCCCAGGGGAGGGGTCCCGTGCCCCTCCCCCGCAGCTGCCGGCGACAGGCAGGACATGCCGGTGGCCACCCGGGTCCCTGCAGCAGCTGCGGGGCGGGGCGGGCAGCTCCGGGTCCAGATGGCTGCTCTGGGCAGCTTGGCCACGCGCGGTCCTGCGCCCTCACCGCTGGGCCGGAGGGGCGCTGAGCACCTAAGCCTGACCTTGCCGCTGGACAGCTGGGGACCCTGTGCCCTCCAGCCCTCCCTGACACTGTCCTGGCCCCTGGGGCCTCCCTCCGCGCCAGGCTGGGGGGCTGGGAGTGTCCCCCAGAGGCCCAGCCTTGGGCCATGGTCCCCTCAACAGCCCAAATCAGGCCCGGGGACCACCATGGTCACTCTCTGCTGCCTGGAGGAGGGCCCCTGTGGGCGCTGGCACTGCTGAGGGCGTGGCCCGTTTACCTGAAGGGTGGGGGGCTGGCACCCCCAGGGCAGAGTCCCGGAGGACAGCCGGGGGGTGTGGCGTGTTGGCTCTGCTTTTTAGGTCTCTATGTAAAGTACGATCCTCCCCAGCCCACCCGTGCGGGTGGGCCCAGACATGGGTCTTAGCAGGACCCCCGCCCTGCCCCTGCGGCGCCCCGGCTCCCCAGGCCCGTCCCCGGCTGCGGCACGTGGCTAGGGGACACTGGCCCGGTACTGTCCGCTGAGGCCCGCGGGGTGACCCTGCCATCCTCCTGAGCTGACAGGTGACCCTCTGAGCCCCGGCCCAGGACGCCTGTCCCCGCCCCACGCCCTGCTCTATTTTTCCCCGCTATTTCCTTGTCTCCGGAGAGCTGGGCGCAGGGGCGCTCGTCCCCCTCCGGACGCACGGCTCGGGCCCCTCCGCGTGAGTTTTGGAAAGGGGGTCTGCGCTCCGCGGGCCAGACGGAAAACCAGGCTTTGGGCGGCGGGGGACCCCCCACCCCCACCCTCGCCACCGGTCCCCGCCCGCTCAGGTGGGCGCGGGCCCGAGCACGCAGCGCGCTGAGCTCGAAGCGCCCCGGAAGGGGGTCCCCGCGCAGACGGCGCAGTCGGGCCCCCGGGGGGACCCCCGCGCGGCGGCCGCGGCGGCGCCCCGCATCTCCCCCGCCTCCCCGGCCCGCGGCGGGCGGCGGCGGTGACCTCAGCGGTTCCGCCGCTCCGGGAAGTCGCCGGGCCCGCCCCTCCGGCCCGCGCCCCGAGTTTCGCTCTCTCTCCGCGGGGCGGGCGCGCGGGGGGCGGGCCCGGGCGCGCCGCCCTTTAAAGGGGGCCGGCGGCGGCGGCGGCGGCGTTGCGGCGTCGGGGCCCGCGCGGCGATGCGCGCGGCCGCATGGAGTTCCCGGGCCACGGCGGGCGGCTGCTGGGCCGGCTGCGGCAGCAGCGCGAGCTGGGCTTCCTGTGCGACTGCACCGTGCTGGTGGGCGACGCGCGCTTCCCCGCGCACCGCGCCGTGCTGGCCGCCTGCAGCGTCTACTTCCAGCTCTGCTACCGCGACCGGCCGGCGGGCGGCCGCGACACGGTGCGGCTCAACGGCGACATCGTCACGGCGCCCGCCTTCGGCCGCCTGCTGGACTTCATGTACGAGGGCCGCCTGGAGCTGCGCGGCCTGCCCGCGGAGGACGTGCTGGCCGCCGCCAGCTACCTGCACATGCACGACGTCGCCAAGGTGTGCCGGGGCCGCCTGCGGGAGGACGAGCGCGCGCCGGGGCCCGCGCGCCGCCCGCCCGCGCCGCCGCCCCGCGCCCCGCGCCCCCGCGGCCCCGGGGGACGGCGACGGCGCCCTGGACCTGTCGCTGAAGCGCGGCGCGCGGAGGCCGGAGCCCGCGGCCCCGCGCTCGGGGCCGCCGCCGCCGCCGCCGCCGCCGCCGCCCGACGGGCGGGACGCGCCGGCCGCGCCCGGGCACGGCGGCCCCGCGCGCGACCCCCGCGGCCCCCCGCCGCCGGCCGCGGCCCCCGGGCCCCCGTGCCTGTGCCCCGGCGCGCGCCTGCTGCGGCGGCCCGTCGGCGCCCGCACCCGCGACGGCGCGGCGCCCACCTGCGCGCGCTGCGGCAAGAGCTTCTCGTGCGCCTACACGCTGCGGCGCCACGAGCGCACGCACTCCGGGGAGAAGCCCTACACGTGCGCGCAGTGCGGGAAGAGCTTCCAGTACTCGCACAACCTCAGCCGCCACGCCGTGGTGCACACGCGCGAGAAGCCGCACGCCTGCCGCTGGTGCCCGCGCCGCTTCACGCAGTCCGGAGACCTGTACCGCCACGCGCGCAAGTTCCACGGCGGCCTGGCCAAGTCCCTGCTGCTGTGACCGCCGCGCCGCGCCGCGCCGCGCCGCGCCGGGGGAGGGGCTGCCCGCCCGAGGGAGTGCCCGGCGGGGTGGCCGGAGGAGCAGGCCCTTCTGCCGGGCGGCCGGGGGCAGGGCGCGCGCCTCGGGAAAGGGGCCGGAGGGCGTCGCCGAGCCCGTGGCCCCAGGGACCGTCGGACCCCCCCTCCGCCTGAGCGCCTGCTGCCAGATGACGACGGGGCGTCCCCGGGCCCGACGCCGCGACTCCCCACCCGCTGAGCAGGGGCTCTCAGCCCGGAGACGCCGCCTCAGTTCGCTCCCAGGGCTTTGGGGGGCTGCCCCGTCTTTGGGGGACCCAGCAGAGCCCGGGTTCCGTTCCTTTCTCTGCCGCCCGCTCGCTTGTCCTGGTGTCTGTCCGTCCGTGTCTGGGCCCCCAGGCCCTTCGGGATGGCCCCCTGGAGGCTCGGGCCCTCCGAGTGCGGGTCTGAGTGTCCAGCCAGTGGCCCAGCCGCACTGGTGCCCACTGGTTCATGGAGGAAACCCCGGTGCTTCCCAGGGGCTCTGGACGGAGGACGAAGCGACCTTGGGGTGGGGCAGCTGGGCCGCCCACGTGCAGCTGTGTCGTGAGGGTCGCGCCGGGCAGTGTCCACTCGTCAGGGCACTGACCCCCGAGCCGAGTGGAGGGGGTGGCGCGGGTCCCTGTGGGCCGGGCAGTGTGGCCTCCTGCCCCTGATAATAACCCCCTTCCCCAGGCAGAGACAGCCCCGGCTGCCTGGGACGGTGAGGGGACGGGGTCGTTCTGGTTGTGTTGGGGCCTGCATGCTAGGGGGGACACAGCGGGGGGGGGGGGTTAGGACGTCTCCCCCCTTACACAGTGGCCCCCGCCCTCCCTCTGCGCTCTCGGTTCTGACCCAGGAGGGGCCCAGGCCGCGTTCTTCAGGTGGGCACCGTGGATGGAAACTCGCTGGGGCAGCCCCCCTGGCCACGGCTGGTGCCCCAACACTGCCACAGGTCCCCCGAAGTCAGCCCCGCGGCTGGCACTGGAAGGGGCGTGGGCTCGGGCCAGCCCTGGGGTCTGCCAAGCTCACCGGGCGGGCGCAGCGAGCGAGGGGGCGACACCCTGGCACACCGTGAGGAACGAAGGCAGTGCGAGCGGGTGCTCCCCGTGCTCCCCAACGCTGGGGCCTGGGCGAGGAAGAGCTCGAGGACCTGAGAGCTGCCAGAAAGATGAGGGGCCCTGGAGGGGCCGCGCCCCTGTGCCCCCTCACCTCCTGGTCCATGCACCCAGCGCAGCAGGACACTCGGCCCTCCTACCCTGTGCTCTTTGTGAGTGAGACCTGCCGTCACTGTCCTCGTGTCATGCTCTGCTGCCTCATTCTCGGGCCTCGGACCCGTGTCCACCGCTGTCAGTGCACCCCCCTCACCTCCTGCTCCTCATTCCCCCCTCCCCTCCACCTCTCCCACCTCTCCCTTCATTATCACCTTCATCTCCATCTTTACCTCCATCTCTGTCACGCCCACCTTCACTCTGCTCACCTGCAGGCACAGTGGGGAGGGGGCCCGCCCTGCGCTGCAGACCCAGGTTCCACCCCCAGCACCCCCCCCCGGCCAAGGGACCCCCCCGGGTGCAGAGTCGGGAGTCAGCCCTGAGCGCCAAGCGGTGTCTCTTCAGTCTACTCATCAGTTCCGCCGTGCGCCCGCCCCCCCACCTGGTCACTGCATGCTGCCGGCTCCCTTGCAGCCCCCCACAACTCCGTCAGTCTCCTCCGTTGGTTCCGCCTCCCCCCCATTGGACCAGCTGGGCTTACTTCGGCCACTACCTGGTGGTGCTCAGTACTCCTGGCTCTGTGCGGGGGCGGGACTGCGCCTGCACGCAGAGCCCCCCCCCCCCCCCCCCCCCCCCCCCCCCCCCGCGCTCCCGGCTCCCCTGCCTTCATCCCAGGGCCCTCGTGTCCATCGGCGACCACCCGGCCCTTCCTCCCAGCCACCCCTTCCTCCGTCTCACCTTCACTCCCCTCCTCACCACCATCCCCAATTTCCATCTTTCACCTCCATCTCTACCGTCTCTAGCTCCGGAACCTTCTCTCCACCTCCACCCCCACCCCCTTCACCTTTATCACCGCCACCTCGTGTTATCAGCCACCCCCTGCACCTCTGTCACCTTCGCCTCCTCCATCCCTAGCGCCTCTATCTCCTGCACCCCCACCTTCTCTGTCTCTACCATCTCCATCCCCTTCATCTCCAGCCCTGCTTTCCCGACACCGGGTCCCCCCAGAACGTGACCCCCATGCAGACTTTGCAGCCTGACGACCCAGCGGTTGGTGCCCAGGAGCTGAGAACTCGGCTAGACCTCATTCTTTTTTTTTTGGCTTTTTGGGTCACACCCGGCGATGCACAGGGGTTACTCCTGGCTCTGCACTCAGGAGTTACTCCTGGCGGAGCTCAGGGGACCATATGGGATGCTGGGAATCGAAACCCGGTGGGCCTGTGAAAGGCAAACGCCTACCTGCTGTGCTATCGCTCCAGCCCCTCATTCTTCTTTTTTGAAATCTGAGTCCACTTAGTTTATTCCTTTCCTTTGTGGGGTCACAAGGAGCCTCCATTTGACCCCAGGGGGCGGTCAGCCCAGGAAAGGGGAGCGAGCGCCCAGCCGAGCCCACCTGAGCTAAAGCAGGGGACTCCAGGCGCCCCCCACCCACTGTCCCCACCGCTCTCCCTGCACAGTTGGGGCTCTGAGACGCTGCCCACGGCTCTGGGCGGGGCTGAGGCACCCGAGGGTCACCCTTCGGGCCCCCTTCGAGGTGACGGCCTGCACGGGGCCTCCGCGCTGGCCGCAGCCCCTTTGGCCTTGTCCCTGGTCAGTCCTGGACTGCCCGCACGCTCCCAGGAAGATGGGAGCCTCGTCGCACGACGCTGGGGGCCCCTGGGCCTGGGGCACGCTCCCCGGGGTGCCAGCCAGTGCCCCCAGGAGACCCCACCCGAGAGCTGGCACACTCAGGTGTCGGGGGACGACAGCCACAATAGCCACAGCAACAAACAACCCCACAAAGCCTGCAGCACCACAGCCGCGCCAGGCGCCGCCCCCAAGCTTGTCCAGGCTTCCCAGTGGCCAGCCTGGGCCGCCCTGCCCACCCCAGCTCGCTTCTTCCCAGGGGAGCACCCTTGGGCCCCTGCAGGCACCTGGCCCGCAGCCTGCGTCTCCCGTCCACGCTGCCCCTACCCGCGTTGTCTGGTTCACCCTGATCACCGTGCTTTACAGCCTGTCCCTGTGCCTGGGAAGATGGGGGCCAGGTCACACATGCCACGACCCTCCCCCCCACACACCTGCTTCCCTCTGGCCATGGCTGGGACACAGGTTCGGCCGTTCAGGCCGCTTATTGTGCTTCCTTCCTCCCTGCCTGATGCCCGTGCCTGGCCCTGGCCCGAGGCTGTTCCACATCACGGTGGTGCCCGCAGCGCTGCTCTGCCGCGGTGCGCCTGTCTTGGCTTCCTCAGCAGCGCCCGCTGAGACCCGGTGCTCTCTGGGACGTGCACTCCCCTCCCGGGGACAGTCCTGGACTGCCCGCACGCTCCCCGGAAGATTGGAGCCACGTCACACAGCGCTGGGGGGAACTGGGGCACGTTCCTCGGGGTGCCAGCCAGTGCCCCCAGGAGACCCCACCCCAGAGTGGGCACTCTCGGGGATGGTGGGTGACAACCACCACAGCCACAGCTACAACCCCACAAAGCCCGCAGCACCACAGCCGCGCCCGGTGCCGCTGCCCCCCGGAAAGCGAGGAGACCCTCCACATCACAGCGTGGGCTGGCGTGGGCCGGGACCCCTCCCCTCGCGATGAGGACTGATGAAGGTCTGTGCCTCACGAGGTTGGTCGGGAGCGGGGGGTGGGGGCGGGGGAGGGGCAGAGCTCTGGGGCGGCACCCCTGGGAGTCGCCCCCAAGCTGCCAGGGTGCTGCGCCGAGCTCAGCGCTGAGGCAGAGACCAGCAGGGACCGGGCGATCCCGTTCTCCGTCATTCTTTATAATTTGGGTCTTATCATTTCTACGTGGGCTCAGGCCGCTGCAGCCAGCCGTGTACAGATTTCTCCCGACCTCTTGCCTGCCGGGAGATCCTTGTTCTTTGCAAATTCAATGCCTGCAACTTTCCATAATAAAACACGTAGATGAAAATACCTTTGGCATCAGATTGGCAGGGACAGTGACCTGGGCGGGCCTAGCCGGGGCACCCGCCCCGCCCCGTTCCAGCCGCACTGGTGCCTCGGTGGCCCACAGCCCGGGTGCCTCTCACGTAGGGGCGGATGGTGCCAGTACTCAGGGCCCGTGCCAAGGGCCGGAGGCGCCCGCAGCTCACCCACTTAGCTTCCGCCTGAACTCCTGGCGGGGCACGTGGCCTGCAGGACCGCACGGGTTTCAGCCACGTCGCGGGGGAAACACCAGCTCAGGGGGATGCCTCTGCCCGGGACCCTGCCTCTCCTGACTTCTGCCCTGGGCAGCCTCCCCCAGCCCCTGCCTGGCCCCACCTCCCAGGTGCCCAGTGAATTCTGCATTCTGCCTCCTTTGTCCACACCCCCCCCAACTGAATCTCGCTGTTTTCATTCCTCTTCCTTGTTGTTGCCATCCCGGTGGGTGGGGGTACAGTCCCCAGCAGTGCTCCGGGGTCCCAAGACATGCGTTTTGATACCAGCCACTCAGGCTGCGTGGTTCTCAGCCCCACCCAGTGGCTGGTGTATGGGGGGTCCTTCCTCGTCCTCAAGACCCAGGGAGCCTGAGGGTTCCTCATCGGGTGCCCGCCCCCCACACTCTGCCCCTGCTGCAAGTCGCCTGTGAGCTGCAAACGGGGTTCCCGCTCCCACAGCCATCCCCAGAGAGGGACGTGCTCTGCGCTCCAGCCACAGAGGAACAGGCCACAGTGGGCCCTGGGCAGCCCTGGGGGTGCTCCCAACGGGAAAACCAACCCGCGAGGACCGGGTGGTGGAGGGGCCGCGCAGAGCTGACAAAGGCGCCTTGAGAGCCAGAGGCTTGATGCC